TATTGGACCTCGGGTCAGGCTCATGCTCTGAAATGAAAATAGATTAGGCCTCATCCAGTACTAACCCTTACATCAACAATTTGAATTTAACCGTAGTCTAGGAGTAGCTGCAATTCGTTCAAGCCTTACTCAATTAGTGGATCGTTGTAGTTAATTCGAAGCGTGCCTTGCTAGCCGGATGTATAATTTAGGGCCTTCACTTAATTAATTGCAGTCCTTTAGAAATCGAGGTATGCCATTTGGCGAACTTTCCATGGCCCTCGCGAAGCTAAAAACGCGTAGTTGCTCTAGGCGCGTTGTTTTAATAAAAGTACTTTTCCTAAATTTGGGTGCGCATTTATGTGACCCAAATCCAAATCTCGACAATGTTAAAACATGTCGAACGCCGCGAGTGCATTTATGTGACGTGGTTCAAGACATGTTTTAACAGCGTTGCAATGTTTCTAAAAATGAATAAAAAGCGGCTAAGATTGAAAATGCACATATGTTTGAACATGTACTAAAATCAGATAATTAAGCCAATTATAACAGTTGAGCGACCGTTCTAGAACCACGGAATCCGGGAATGCCTAACACTTTCTCCTGGGTTAACAGAATTCCTTACTCAAATTTCTGGTTCGCGGACTGTAATACAGAATCATTCTTTCCTCGATTCGGGATTTGAACCGGTGACTTGGGACACCATAAAATTATCCCAAGTGGCGACTCTGAATTTTTTAAAATAATAAATCTCGTTTCGATTGTCCTTTAATTGGAAAAACTCCTTTATTTATACCCTTCCGGGGTGTAAGAAAAAGGAGGTGTGACAATTATCTCTTCTTCTTGCATTTATTTCCTTTTTTCCTTAAAGTTACAATAGTACTTATAAAAACTCCAACACTATTCGACTTTTTTTTCCTTCACGTATTAAGCATGTGAAGCACTATTTGTTAATTTCCACATGAAAAGCATCAACACCATTTGCTTCATGAGATAATGTACATCAAGCACCGTTTGCCCCTATAGGCTATAAGGTATTTTTGAGCACAATTTGCCCATCTTCGTATAATATTTTTACTTTTTTCACTTTACTTTTGTCACTTGAAAGAAAAAAAGAAAACTACATTGGCAACAACAGAAGAAGAAATGTGAATCACATAGCGGCTATAACCACTAGGGCAATAAAAGATTGACCGAATAGTCACCACTGTTTATTTGAGTTACAAAAAAGAGGGACATTTTTACAAAAAAGATCGACTGAATAGTCATCATTATATTGATAGATTAAATAGGACACACATACACCAAGTAGGCGAGTTAACATACTTCCCTGTAGGAGTCCGGAACCAAAATGTGGTTCTTTTGGACTCAAAGTACACAAATAGGTGGTAAAAAAAAGTTACATTTTTATATATAGCGCCACAATATCAGGCGCTATACATTAACAGTAACGACACCATTAATGTATAACCCCAGGTATTGTGGCGCTATACTGTAAAATCTGACACGCTCAGGTATAGCGCCACAATACCTGGCGCTATACATACATCATTAATGTATAGCGCCAGGTATTGTGGTGCTATACTCCTTTTTCCTGGCCCCACCAACAATTCCTGACTTCAATAATTTAAAAGCATATAGTGCCAACTTTTTGGGCGCTATATATATATATAAAATATTTTCCGGCTAGCCATTTCCTATATAAAGAGGTTGAGATTGTATAGAATTTTATTCAAAAGGTGTATAGCGTAGAAATTTCCCGGCTAGCCATTTCCATACTCTTGTTGAGACGTTTATTGTTGTTAAATTCTCCATCATTTTTTCATTATGTTTGAAGAACGTAGAATAAGAGTTTCATTATATTGGGAGGGGGTGAGGTTGTGATGGAGAATAACTTTGTGGGCTACAGTTTACCTGCTCAATGTCATGTTAAATTGCCACTTACAATGGAGTACGATAAATTGATATCGTTGTTATGCAAAAAAATGAGTGTGAGGAAACGTTCAGTGATACTTAAAGTAACCGGAAGATATCCGTATTTCGTCACTCCGCAAGGGGTTGATTTTTACTCGGCGTTTAACATCGACGATGATGAAACTTCGAGTGATTTTCTGAGGACTCCGGATGAATACAGGGAATCTTGTAATCACAAAGTTGGAGATGTACGTGAAGGTCGAAGACATTCCAAATAACGAGGTTGTGCGTAGTAGAGATAACCCCCAGTCATCGGGTGGTTATTCTGGAGCAATTTTTGCCGGACAAGTTCTGGATGAAAGAGTTTTCTTTGATTTAAACTTATCATCGCCGGCGAATGAGCAGCGAAAAAATAATTTATACCCTGCTTTTCATAATTAACAAGACGAGTGGTAAACTTCAATTTTCATTTGTGTTAATTATATATATATATATATTTGGTGTATTGAATCTATATTAACGCTCATATATTTAATAGGGGGTACCGACCGGATATGAATTTTACAAGTGGCCCATCCGATAGTCATCACCTAATTGAAAACGTCCATCATGGAATTTCATCACATTACGACTTGTTAGTGAAGTGATATAGCCATATAGAAAGCATTTATTAATTCTGTAGCTTATATTTTTGTTGGTTGTGCAGTGAAAACGAGCAAGTTGAACCACCCGTACTCACTCAATTGCCCGAAAACGACGTAGTACATCGAGATCGAGCAGATGCACAGAGTGAGGAACAGAACAGTGATTACGATAACAATGCCGATGAATCCGGAGACGAGACACCCTTTCTTCGTGAGAATGGTGATGCGCAGGATGAGGAGGAAGGACCTGATTTGAAGAGAGACCCCCTAGACGAAGAGTATACGAGTCCGAAGTGCCGTTTCATTCAAGGGAGATTCCTTACATTGATAACTTGCCAACCATACCGGATGTGGAAGCTCTTACAAAGGATTTTGATGAAATCCGAACAGCAATGTGGGATGAGNATTCGTGGGATACCACAACCTCGATGGTACTGCGCTAGGTCCATATAATCAGCCTCGTGTGCCAAACGCTGATCCGATCGGGCTCGCTACAGTGTCTGGGCAGCCACATCCATGAATCGACGACTATACTCCAGCATGACCACAGGATCGTGGACATAACTCTGCATCTGCTGCCCCATATGATAGACGGTATGCAATCCAATCGCCTGCACAAAGTAAAAAATATAAACTACATATTTGGCACTAAATTACAGGTATATAACTAATAATAACAGAAACATACCAGGGCCTCGTGTTTCCCGACGTATGGGACGTATCGACCGTGTGCCTGATGAACTGGGTTCCGGATAAAAAGTTGGGATACAGTGCGGTACCATGCCATATAACGTTGAATAGGAAAGTGCTACGGAGGTGGGGTCAAGTCCCCTCGCCTGTCCCAAGTACCCAACTGCTCGTTAAGCCATGCCATAAATGTGTTGTCCGCCCTGGACCGATCATCCCTCTTATAATGTAAAGCATGCCATGTAGGCGGAGTCGGTATAGGTTGCGGCAGGCCAAACTGACGAAATACCCGCTCGGAGGCATGGTGCTCGACAATATCGAGGCATATGAGCGGGACAGAAGCCCTCCAAATATGTCGACCGAACGTGCAATACGCTGGTAGGGTACCTATTACCTCATCGTTGTACGGCGTCCAGATGAACTATCAAATAAGAACTCAAACCGTTAGTATGTACAACACTAAGTTAATCTATAACAAGTAAGTTTAGTTAAATATTCACTTGTGCGTCCTCCAGCAGATCCAACACATCCCTGCAGAGGGGAAGATTATGATGGGAATCATACTCTCGTGCAAGAGGTACGACGCATAACCCACCTACAGGCTAGAGGGAGTTGCGAAATTTTTACATTAGCCGGTAGTTGTGGTAGAGGTGGCTGAAACAGCAGAAATCGCTCCCAGACCCAAACCTAACATACAAAGTTGACATAAAGTATAAGATTAACTATAACTAGGTAGAATTGTAACTAATGGACATATTATTTGAATATGTTGTCACCTGTAGAAGCGGCAAAAATCCACCAATGACTCTCTGTGTGCCGATGCAAGCCCGGCACATTTGCCTGTACAGATATGAGATGACAGCACCACCCCAGCTGTAGATGGCTATATCCTCGAACCGGTCAATATGATGCAGAAAACTGAGGCTCACTAGGTTCCCCGAAGTGTTCGGGAACAAGACCCCCCCAAATAGAAGGAGCAACAGCAGCCTCGTATATTGCTGTACATCTACCTCCGCTGACTCGTCGGTGATAGTATGGTGGATCTGCACCAGGTGGTCTCTAATGGGGACCAACTGTATACGACTGGACCCAGACACTACCGCCTCGTCCTCCAGCATGAAACCCGTGAGCATGTGCAGCATATCCCAATATGTTTCAAATAATATCTCATGGTTGCAGGCAGTAAAACTGGCAAGCCATCAGCGGACAGGCCATATAAAATCTCAGCGTCCTGGAGTGTGATGGTGGTCTCGCCGATGGGCAAATGGAAAATGTGAGTCTCTGGTCGCCACCGCTCAATCAAGGCCGTGATCAAAGCATAGTCAAGCTGTATCCGGCCAATCCAAATAATCCTATATAATCCCATCTCCTCCAGGTAATGGACCATGCGGGGATGTAGAACGCGGGGAGGACTCAAAAACTCCCACAATAGATCCACTCTCCTAGCCCGGAAAGTCTGCGTAAGCAACTGTCCGTCCCATATATACTCGGATTTATGCTGGGGCTGTAGGGCTAATAGATCCAGCGTCTGAGGGCCGGGATGTATAGTCGCGTCCATGTCGTCAACTGTAAATTCATATTTTTTAATAACTTAATTGTACAAATTATATATATAT